CCCAGGCCCGGGCCCGCTGCCCTCGCCCCGGCTCGGCGCGATGGCCCCGTGGGCGCTCTCGAGGCGCAATTCCACGAGCCTCCGGTCACTTCCTTCTCAGCAGGCCTTTGCTTTCCGAACTCCTGCCCGGGCGGCGGCGGCGGCGGCCGTGGCCGTGGCCCCAGGTGGGAGGTCGGCGCGGGCAGGTTGGATGGGTGGACAGATAATCCATCATCTTATGTAACTGCGGAGGGAAGACTAATTGTGTAGGAGGCTGACGCGCCTGCCTTAGCTTCTGATATGTGTTAAGAGTCGCGTTCACATCCTCATCTGTGAAATGACAGTTTCACGTCTGAGAGCTGCGGGCCGCTGGAAGCCTCCTCTGGCGCCCCCTCCTCGGTGATTTTTGTGGCTAGGGTACATACTGACAGGGCCCTGACTTCCTGTGTCTCCAGCGTCCATTCTCAGACCCCCACCCCCAACGCCGCAGATCCGGCTCCCCGATGGCACCAGGCCCTTGCAGCTCCAAGTGGTGGGCGCGTTTTCTCCCGAAAGCAACCCATGCCAGGGTGGTCCCGTGCGGTCCTCCTGCAAAGATGTGCTTTATTTCCTGTCTAGGCTGGACAACTGGAGTAGTTGGTATTTATGTGACAGTTGCTGGTTGGGGCTTCTAAGTGGGATTGCAGCCTACTTGCAGAGCAACAGTTTCTAATTGTATTAGACAAGGTGGCTGTGCCTTCTTAGCCTATGGTCTGTGAAACCCTCTTAACTAGCTCAGCCTCCCGACAGCCAGATGGAGGCTTCTGGGGTGGCCTTTTTGGTTCCAACTGGAGTCCAGGGGGCAGACTGTGCTTTAATAAAGCTTTTAATAAAGGTTTTTAAGTTGCAGGTATGCTGGTCGGGAAGAATTTTAGGGCAGTTGGGATCAACTGCATCAGTTTTGAAGCCATGTTAGAGCAGCTGGTAAACAGGGTTCAGAGAAGGACTCAACCAGCACAGGGAAGTGATAGCCTCTAGGGCTTCTGTGTCTGGACCCATAGGATGTGTGGCATATATTTCTGGTCACCTTGCTCTGTCAAGGGAGGGAGGCTTATTAAATTATTTGTCATTAGTTCCATTATGACTTGCTCATTACTGCAGGAGGTAGAAGGGAAGTGCTGGACACGGTCTTTTCTTTCTGTTTCTCCTGATCCCACACTGAAACTCATCAACAGGAACTTTCAAGGTGGGAATTTTGAGGGGTACGTGGAGTGGTTTTGCTCTGGGGAATTCCATGATGGTCCTTAACAAAACTCTTGTAACCAAGTGTCCTCCTGTAGTTACAGCTCAGCAGCTTCACCTAGATGGAGCTGTAACTTATCCAGCTGTCTGAAGCGGAATTTTTCAGCGGAAGGGTGGCAGGGAAATTGTTGGCATCAGAGGGCTGGGGACGTTCAGCCCCTCAGGAAGCAGATGGACAGGTTCTGTGTTTGGTGTCAGTTGTTTGGTGAGCTTCCAGGTGAAGGTGTGGCAGTGAAGGACACAGCGTTGTAGGCTGGACACAGGCTGTAGGTATCTGAAGGGCTCCCCCCACCCCACCCTGAACGCTCCTGCCCTGGCAACAGGCTTGCACTGCCACTGTGTGGCCAGCAGGCTCGGCTTTGCTCTCGCTGCCACTGGGGCCTGCCTCCTGAGTCGTTGAGTCCTGGTGCTCTGTTACCTTTTTGTGCTTTGTCACTAGGGAGCTCCAGGTGCCTGGGTAGTGCCAATACAGGTTGGGCAGCTTTGGCACGTCAGCCAGGCAGAAACCCAGCCCACGTAGAGGCACAATCAGGAGACAGCCGAAGCCACTGGTGTGTAGATCTGGGCCGGTCCAGCCAGTGTGGGCAGCACTGTGCCCTGTCTTCCCCTGGGATGGTGCTGACTCTGGCATCCTTTGGGTCCTGTGTCCATGTGGGCAGCTTGTGGGAGCCCTAGTGGTGCCTCTTGGAGTGGCTGGGATGTGGCCTGCTTGGTATCACCCTGCCTTGCAGCTGGACTGTTTGGTTTGGCCGCTGCAGGGCCTCACTGCAGTTCTGAGTGGTGTTTGCCTTGGCAAAGGAGGACACTTGTCCTTGCTGACTAAAAGTGAGAGAATAAAATGTAAGGTTTTGGTTTTCTTCCCTGGGAGAATCTGTAATGCAGACTTTGACCTCTTTCCTGGTGGCTCAGTTCCCTTGGGAGCTGTGTCCTCGGGGAATTTCGTGGAAGGTGAGGGGAGAGGAGTAGAATGGCTTCCTGAAGTCTGCTGAGGACACACTCTAGGGCGCTTGAGGAGCACAGGCTGGGCTGGCTCCTGCAGGAGAGGAGAGAATGAGCCGAGGAGGCCCCTTCCTCCACCGCACAGGCAGGAGACCCTGACCGGGCCTGGTGCTTGGTCGGTACAGCCGTGGGTGATGGCCTAGACAGGAACAGAGTACTGGCGGTGGGATCTGCTGCCCTCCAGGTAACTGAATGCACTGATTGGAATTAAAGCATTCCAAGACTGTACATCTGTCCCTCCAGTATCCCCACAGGCCGAAGGGGCCTTTGGCTGTGGTTCCCAGTGGTGTTTTTCTCTTGGTCTTGTATCTCAGGAGAAGCCCTGGCTCCTACTTGACCCAATGGCCCAGGCTGTCCTGAGGCCAAGAGAAGGTGAGAGGGCAGCCTGAGGAGGAGCAGGTCCTGTTAAAGCCTTGGACCTTAACAGTGCTGTGGCCACTGGGCCTTGGGCAGGTTGGTCACCAGAGCCCGCCTGATCATGCTCCTTGCTGGCAGTTGTGGTGGGGAGCCAGCCTGGCTGTGCTGCCACTGCCTGCAAAGGAGCAGGTGCCTAAGGGTCCCTGAAGCTGAGAGCCAGTGGTTTGCCACCTCTGCTGTGATTGGTGGGCCAACACCAGGTGGTAGGTGTCGGGTACTGAGTGGCAGGGAGCCTGGCCCATTTTTCTACCAAATGCATCTGCCTCTCCCTGTGGGTGCCTTGGAGACCTGTGGGAAGCATGGGTCCCCCACATACCCTGCCACTGACCTCAGGTCACCTTGATCCTCAGGGCAGCTGAGCAGTCACATGGCACCATTGGCTGCCATCAGAAACCTGGTATCTGGGATGGACAGAGCTCAGAGGCCCCCCATTTGGACATGACAAAGTGGCATCTCTGACGGGCACTTCCTTGGCAGCAGAGCCGTCTGCCTGTAGGGCACAGACAGGACTTCAGCTTTGCAGTGCCATGGCCGGCCCTGTGCGTGTGAGAGTGCATGAGTGTGTGTGCACTTGGCCCAGCTCTGTGTGTGCGAGAGTGCGTGTGTGTGTGTGTGTGCACTTGGCCCAGCCCTGTGTGTGCGAGAGTGCATGTGTGTGTGTGTGCACTTGGCCCAGCCCTATGTGTGCGAGAGTGTGTATATGCACACTTGTGCACATAGTGCTTCGTAACTCCAGGCACACCCTGTGGATACCATCTTCCCACATGACAGCTGGGTCTGTACTCTTTTCTTCTAGATGTCTTGTTAACCTGTGCCGCCAAACTGTTCCCTCTCCAGTGTTTCAACAGACCTCATCTCCTGGGGCAGCACATTTGTTCCCTTTTGTAGAGTAGCCAGGGGAGCAAAGGACAGTTTCTCTGTCATGCTGGCTTCTGAGCTGACTAGCTCCTGCAGGCCTTGGCTCTCCTGTTGGCTCTTGGGCACCTGGTGCCCAGCTCGTGGTTGCTTGTGGTCAGGGTTTGCTGATGGATGTAACTGAGCAGTTCCAGGGGAATGGAGATGAGGCTGGTTTGGGAGGCTGCCTAATCTATATCCACTGGCCTGGTGGGTCCTGCCTGGAGCGTTTCCTTTGTTGGCCACATCAGCTTGCTCATGGGACTGACCTAGTGGACCTGAGGTTCAAGGTCAAAATGAAGGCCAGTGCTACTCAGCTTTCAGGGCCACAGTTAGAGGGGAGGGGCAGAGGCTGACTCCTGCCGTGAGCTGTGTTCTTGTTGCTACCTTGTTTTGGACTGAAGCTTCCAAAGGTCCTGCCCCAAAGGACAACACCAGTTGAGCTGGCTGGGACAGGCAGTCCTGCTGGGGAGGACTGGCGTATGGCCTGGCAGAGGGGCCAAGGTGCATCTCCCCTCTCTCCCAGTTAGCAGATCACTGAGAGAGTCACTGTGGGAGCAGTGGGTGGTGAGCAGGGCTGGCCCTCTGTGCTTGCCCCCACCTAGCCTCAGCTGGCCCTGTGCCTGCTTCTCTGGGCTGGTGTTGCCCATGGCCATTATTGCTGGGGGCAGCCTGCTATCCTCTTGCTGTGACTGCAGGTGCACCCAGCCAGGGTCTGCTCTGAGTCGTCCTGGCTTCCCATCTGAGTGTTTTTCTTGATGCCTCAGGATGGAGAAATGTCCCCCCATTGCAGAGCACCTATGCAGGGAGACTCTGCACTGAGAGGCCGGGTGGCTGTCAGCCTCCCCCGTTGCAGAGCTGTGCTGGGATCTGCTGCTGACAGCCCATAGTAATTACAGGCAGCATGGACGGAGCTGGCACCTTCCTCCAACCTACTCCCACTGCCCCGGGCTGTGATTCATTCCCGTCCTGACTGCCTGTGC